GAAAGAAGGAAAGAAGGAAAGAAAGAAGGAAAGAAGGAAAGAAAGAAGGAAAGAAGGAAAGAAAGAAGGAAAGAAGGAAAGAAAGAAGGAAAGAAGGAAGGAAAGAAAGAAGGAAAGAAGGAAAGAAAGAGAGAAAGAAGGAAAGAAAAAAAGAAAGAAGAAAAGAAAGAAAGAAAGAAAGAAAGAAGGAAAGAAAGAAAGAAGGAAAGAAAGAAAGAAAGAAAGAAAGAAAGAAAGCGCCGCCGTTCTCGAGCGGATCCCCTTTTTAACCCGTTCGAACGAAGCGTAGGGGACGTATCGCGCCCTTAACCCGAATTCTTTTTCCCTCCCTTTATTACCTTTCAGGCTGCAGGTCGATAAGGAACCGGAAAGGGTCCTGGCGTGATTGGTCACGGCCAGCAGCAAAGGTGTGGCCGTGACGAAGCTGCTCGACTTGGGCGCGAACTCCTTCTGCACGGCGTAGCTACGCATGCGCCGGCGGAAGATCGGCGAGTCGAGGAAGGTGTCGTCGTATTGAGGCATCTCGAGAGTTGTCGCTGTCGAACAATCACGTTAGATCCTCGAGACGCTGACGGATGCTCGTTCTGGTTCCGTACGGTTTCTCGAGTACACTCATCCTTGTCGCGTTGCACCGGGACATTGCACACAGGTTGCACACCGTTGCACCGTTGCGGTTGAATAAAATTCTCACATAATTAATCGGTGAATATCGGAGCGTTTTCACCGTTTTCTTCGATCGCGCACACGTCACGATGCGATTTCACGTTTCGAATTAATGCGGAACGAGGATTCACCGGGTTGCAGCGATGCATCGCGGAGAGGATGAATTGCTGTAAAAATTGTATTTCCTTGTTGCAACATCTGTAATATCTGTAATTGTGATTGTATCGTTACGAATGGATCGATAACGGTGAAATTTTTATATTTTATCCAAACGTCACGTTCGATCGAATACGAAATGGAAACCTAACCTAAAAAAACTTGCAAAGCCGAAGGCACGAGGTTAGCCGAAATCACCGAGATCCACTTCTTATCTATCTCTCTAGATAAATTGACGCAAGTGTTTAAAAGAATTTTGCATCGACGCACACATATCGAGGTGATTATAAAACTTTTCTTATTCCGTTTAATTAGATCGATAATCGTTCGATGTCCATTTCATAGACGAGTTAATGAGCCAATACAATCTTCCATGTAGAATTTGGAATTTTTGTCGAGGAAAATGCAATCACTGTAATTCGATCGAGGAACGCGTATTCTCTTAGCTCAGATCCGATGTTAAAAGCGAGAGAAAGATTTTCCGATTTTGTTGTACATTTTCTACACGCGTGATAAGAAGACGCTACACGATTATCGATGATCAGTATCGAACGAGCAACGCCAAGCAAACTAAGAAACACACGAATATATATACATATATATATATATATACAAAATATTGCATATGATCTCACGAACAGTATATTTAGCAAGTGACTAGCGGGTTCACGCTGTAAACAGATAACGCCGTGGCGACAATACACTGTTTGCTGAACTTTAATTCTACGCTTAATAGCGCGTAATTAAAGATACATGGTAGAATCTTAAGATACCGTGTCTATCTATCGAAGTAACGAACGATTATTGTACAGGCTAATTATCGGAATAACTCCTTTTCTTTCTTGTTTTCGATAATTATTGAAATGAAATTACGTTTTCGTAATTAAATCGCGACATTTTAATCTTTTATTTTTAATTTAAAAAAAATTATTTAATATCGAAAATCAACCCGTGAAATATAATTTAAGCATTAATTTATCTTATCTTATCCTCTTTTACGTATACATTGCATCTAAAAATGAAATATTTTCAATTTCATTTAAATAAACTCGATCGATAAATGAATATCGAATTTTCGATATTCGGATCGAAACAAAATTTTTATAATCTTTACAAAATCTCCCCCGATTTTTAAAAACTGCTCGAATTTTTCGTAGTACACGCTAAAATAAGACACCATCGCGATCGATGGTGAAATTTCAAAGAGCTAGAGAAGGCAAGGTATTTAGATTGAACCGAGCCGATGACAGTCATCGCCTAAATATACGTGCGATGATACATTTAGCAGCCTCGAGTACTACACCGAAGTAGAGTATACCAGATTCGAGTTCCAGGATGTCTATTTTAACGCGACGGATGTTCCGTTACGATTTCTTAACGCGCTTCCGTGCTGTCCTCCTGTCATGGCGCGATCGATGGCTACGTTCGCCATATCATTTCGAGTTGCAAAGACGGTGTTAAAAATCGCGATATTAAAGGTGTTGAAAATTTACTCGATTCGTGCGATCTGTCGACGAATGATCTCGAAATCGTATATTTTCGAAAAATTACGTTGTAATCGTTCTTCTCTGAAGAAGATAATTCAATCTTCTTCCACGTAACAACGTAGGATTTGGAATTTTTTTCGAGGAAAATACAATCACTTCGAGGATGACAAACACGTTAACATCAAAAGAGAAAGGGTTCCGATTTTGTTACATTTTCTAAAAAATTCTAAAAAATACTAAAAACTCCAAGTTCGGAGGGTTAATTCAAAGTTTCTTAATTTACGCATCGTGCGACTAAAAAAATAAGATAAACGTCATTTTCGATATATCTCGTGCCAAGGAAAATTTTCTTTATTTCGATCACTTTGAAAGCGAACTTAAAAATGATTGAAATCCATCGACGAGAGAATTATAGCGTTGTTCCATATTTATTTCAAAAATATAAATCTTTCGATCTCGTTCGCGGACGATAATACAATACGGTAGAGGAAGGAGATTCTTAAAGATTTTTCACGTCAGTTTTCGACGACAAACGATTTACTGGAGCGAGAAGCCCGACCTGCTCGACCGATCGCGGTTCCACGTCGCTTTTGCCGCTCTTGGAACGGCGCGTATGATTCGATACGAGAGGTCAATCGTGTAACTCGTTCCACGCTGGGTTGAGCACAAGGACCACGTTTTTCTGGCTTGCTTGCTCCCAGTTAAATTATCGAGTTTTCTGGCAATATTTATATATATATCTAGGACTTTGTCGAAGAAATGAAACGTGCCACTGCCTCGTTTCGACCCCATTGCTGAAATAAATGTGAAACGAACGGTGAAGAGGGAGGAAAAAGAAGAAAAATAGATGTTGAAGAATGTTTTCAAAAATTTATCGAGAAAAATTGCAAGTATATCATATATATATATACTTTGCATTCGATGAAACGAGATTTATTTTAGATTGATTTCACCTGCAAATTGAAAACAGGTACGTAACTATCCGACCTCTAAATAACCTCTAAATATTCTGTCATTCGCAGCGCTTTCGACGACGTTGCTTTCCCTATTCTCTATTTTTCTGTACTCGATAATCACGCTTCCAAACGACCAAGCGAGTAATTGTCTCGATTTGTCAAACATTTCGTTCGTTCGAAAGAAAAACCTACCCTTTCCTTCGAGAAGAAAAAGAAAAAGAGAAACAGAGAGAGAGAGAGAGAGAGAGAGAGAGAGAGAGAGAGAGAGAGAGAGAGAGAGAGAGCCACAAAGAGGACGATGATCAAATTGTACACTCGACTCGATTCAATCTTATTTTTGGACGATGATTCATCGCGATTCCATCGAGCATCGAGGAATCCGCGTCTCGTCCCGTCGAACGCGGATGGAAAATGGTCGGAAGGGCGGGCGTGGGGCATCGAACTCCGAAAATAAACGCAACGTTGGTGGCAACGTTGGCGGTTTGGGGCGCGACAGGAAGCGACGCTTTAACTGGGTCGCAAGTTCATCAGTGGTAATTATTATTAATCAGGAAATCTCGGCCCGGCCGCGAAATTCCCGCAGATTTGCATGATTACGCCGAAGAGCGGCGTTGAATAATTGGCGTCGCCTGGGATTGCCGGCGGGGACGTGGTGTTTTCAGCGGCCGGTTAATTTGTTGTTATATTATTTGAGGACGGAGTTGAGTTGAGTTGAGTTGAGTTGAGTTGAGTTGGGAGAGAAGATTTATCGTGGTCGTCGTCGTCCGAAACTTGGAGGAAAATGAAACGTCCATTACTACTTTCGAGCGACCTTTGCTATTTTCGACGTAGGATTCCTTTGATAAATGATGATAAAGCCGTGTCAATGCCGCGCTTCCCTGATCCACTGATGAATTCATTCCAGCGATTTTTGAATTCTTTTAACCCTTTGCACTCGTATTTTTATTTGACAAGCTTACCAATCCAATTATTTTTCATATTCTTGTTAAGTTAAGTTGCTTTAGTAGGAAAAAATTTGAAAAAATACGCAGAAATTTTATCTCAATCTCTAGATCAGTATATAAAAATTTATATAATATTTGTATGTATATTTTGATTTTTCAAAATTCTTAAAAAAATAGATAAAACTAAATTCTAAATTGAAAGGAACAGAACGCTCCTCTCGAAAACACAATCTTGCAATAGGGATAAAATATATGAAAAAAACAACTGAAAGACCAAAAAAATAAATAATACAAATAACATTGAAAAAATTACATTTTATAGTCCTGGTTTGCCAGAACAAAGAGAAAAAATCTTTTATTATCATTTATATATTTATTTTATTTTATATATACACACTATTACAAGCAGAAACATTGTAACAAAAAGTCCATAGAACGTAATATTAATGTAAATATATGTATAATAACACGAGTGCAAAGGGTTAAATTAATCCCTCCTCCGTTTTCCCCTTTTATTGGAAAATTTTCTATACCGTCTTTCTATCATCTGTTTAATTTTTCTTTTTCAATCAAAAGTTATATCGAAAGCATCGATACCGAACCACCGATCGTTCCAATTGTACACCATATAAACGAATTATTCGAGAATAAATTATCGTCTTGGAACGTCGTTGCACGCGTTCATCAAAACACGCAGATCGGCCGCCTCCTGTTTCGCTAACTAATCGGGCCTTGATCGTTTATTACGCAGCATCTACGTTTTGCTTCGCGATCTAGGCCGTCAAGATCGCCACTTTGCTTTGGGGAAATACTGAAAATAATGTAATTTCGTGAAAACGAAATTACAACACGCTTCGACATCTATTAAATTCCTCCTTCTAATAATCGTTTAAAAATTATTTAAACTCTTTTCAAGGCAAGCTTTTTAATTATTTACGGATTTTTCTATTTTTATTTGGCGTGAATCATCGCGAAGCAAATCTCACGATCCCACTTTCGTTCGTTCTTCGATCTCGAAAGTTAAACCTTAAATCGCATCAACGATTGTCTAATTTATTTAATCACGGAACAAATTACGATTTACACGAGCTATTTTCAAATCACGCGTCTGTGAATTCGACGATCACGGAGTGTCGATATTCTGCCTCGAAGATGAGATTTTCTCTCCGGCGAGAAACTTTTCTTTTACGTGCAATTTGCTTCTCGATCGATCGAGGGAAAACGAGAAGTGAAACGGGTTTACCTTTCGCGCTGCTATCATATCATTTCGCCCTTCTCGAGCTTCGAAATCCTAATCGATCGATCGAGAGGAAAGGAATTGTGCTTCTTCCGATTATGAGGATGACCTCGATCGATTCATCCTATTGAAAAACGTAGAGAGTGTCTAGGTAAAAGTGGGCGAGAAACGGAAGAAATCACAAGTGGATTGTTTTGAGATTAATTTATACGTATAGCGATATTATTATTAATATTTAAGAAAAAAAGATTTTTATATTTTTCGATTTCAATTATATCATATTTGAGATGATTTAAAAATAATACGTGAAATTATATAATTGTAGTTTCATTTTTTAGAAAATTTTTAAAAAATTTTTTTACTCTTTTTATTTTTTACATTTTATATATAATCAGACACTCTGTACATTCGTGAAATATTTTTGGAGAGTCAATTTTAGAGGCCGGAACAAACATAAAAGTTACACGAAAACATCGATTAATTATCGAGATAGCGAGAAGACAGAAATAGAGTAAGACCTCAAACCTGTAACTTAATAACTCTCAACATTTTGTCCATCGACTTTTCTTAGAAAAAAGACTTCCAAAAATTTGTATCAACAAATATATCAATACCTCGAACAAAAAATCTCCACTTCACGTCACCTTAATCTTCGTCGCAACGAAATATTACGAAGAGGAAATTTCCCTTTTTATCCTGTATGCTTCTAACATTGAAAACTCGTCGAGTCGATTTATTGGCTCGATGAGGCCACCATCTCGAAAATGGAACAATCAAGAATCTTTCTAGAAAAAAAAAGATTTCCAAAAGATTTGTATCAACAAAATGTATCAACACCTCGAACAAAAAATCTTCACTTCACATCACGTATTAATCTTCGTCGCAACGAAATATTACGAAGAGGAAATTTCTCTTCTCATCCTGTATGCTTCTAACATTGGAAACCCGTCGAGTCGATTTATTGGCTCGATGAGGCCACCATCTCGATGGAAGATCGCGGAACAACTAAGGATCGAGAAGCTTTGCCTCTGACGTAACACGATATACACACCATCAAACTTGGAAGCTTCGATCGATCGAGCACGCGACAGCGAGCGATCGCGGAAAACTCCGTCCAACTTAATAACACTGTTCTCCAAATCCTCCATCGATCTCTCGCGCGTTCAAGCTTTGTCATGACGTATAGCCGTGGAAATAGCTTCCCCGCCTCTACACATCTCGAGTTTACGAGCGAGTCTTCGATCGATCTTCGCAAGCTACGAGACTTTTGTTAAAAAAAAAAAAAAAAAGTTAAAGGGCCCAGAAATTTTCTTTGCACTGTTTCCTCTACATTTCTTCTTCCCCTTAACTTCAATCTCGATCCTCTGCTCGTTCTTTCTACATTCTTCCTAAATTCGAGCTTTCGAATTAAGTTTGATTTCGAAACGCGTTTTTAATAGGAATTTAATGTCGGTTGAACAACTTCGTGATTACAGGCGATTAGGATAACTTTCCCCCTTTCCCCGATCCATCTGCTAGAGATTCATTTTTCTCGTATCATTTTTTCGAAGCGAACAAGATTGATGAATTTTCTGTAAATCCTCCAATTGCAATTAATAATAAACGCGGAAATAGCAAACGACGATCACCGATGTATAATAAAATTCACTATATAAAACAAAAGAATCAATCACCGGATCTCCACACATCGAATCCTCGTTCAATAAGGATTGTTCCTCCCGTCGATCCATCTTCAATCGATTTTCACGTCTTCCCGAGAGATAAGGATCTCCACTTTCCACGGTAACCTCGTACTTTCTCCAAAGAGACGAGAGCGCGCGGAATTACGTAAAAAAGTAAAGCTGAATCTCTAACGCGATCCAAGTTTCTATCCTGGATAGAGGCTACGTCATCGTCGAATCCTCCATCCTCCGCCATCGTCCCCCGATACCAATTAACGCGATCAACGATCCATAAATTTTTTACCGCGGCGTAGAACACAACCAAACACTTGCGTAGCAACGAAAAAGAATCACGATAATAAATTGCGAATCTTCACACGGGATAATCTGGAATAATAA